GGGAATACTAGAATTGATAACTTTTGTTAAGGGCAGTGCTGGGATTAACCCTGTTTCTATTTACTAGCAATCAGCGCTTGATTTCTTTCTATACTTTCCATTCTCTCCACTAAATTATTTCGTTTTCAGTAAGCCATAAATTTAAGAATTATAGAGGAATTCTTCATATATGATACAAATTTAATACTTTTTAATAGTTTAATATGACCAGATCTAGAATCAAGGGCACCAGAATGAAATCCTTCTTAGACTGTTTAAAAGAAATGAAGCGTGTACTAATCAAAATAAATTTCACTGATCACTAAATTACATGTTTGATAGAATTAGTTTTTAATATAATAAAATGTTCAATTTTATAATAAATGCGTCATTTACTTCGGTTTCTCGGGTTGTACATATTCATAAAGTTTTAAATGATTATCGGGGAATTTATTTTATTTGTTAATGACTGGAAAATTGACTGTTTATGTTTGTTTTTATTTTCAAAACACTGTTATTTGTATCGAAGATTATAATCATATATCTTATTCTGCAGATAATTGCAATTAATTACAAGTGCTGTTCGTTATCTCCATATATTTCGTGTGTTTAATTCATATACCAAACTGACGCAAATCCCGTTAAGAAAGAAGGATGGTGCATATTTAAAATAAACAAGTTTTTAAAATTTATTTTATCGAATATTCGAATATATTCGAATACTTCCATTGAATATTCGAATATGAATTATGGACAAAAATGACATCCCTATTATTAATTAATATGATTGATCAAATAAGAGGCGTCTCTAACAAATGGTATTAACAAGTTTACGATCAAACTTAAAAATATCAGAGACTGAATAAATATAAAGGATGCGAATTTCCAGTCACATTTACAACCAGTGTGGAGACAGAATTAAATAACAAGAAAAGAGTCATAGAGATCATCGATCATATAACTTCACTATACATTCTTAGATGTATTTTAAATATATTTGTACTCTATATAATTATTTGAGAAGCTTGAATACAATACTGATAATAAAACTGCCATCATCAAAAGATGATGGATTATCTTTTGATTATACTAAATGTGATATAGCTTCAATTTGAAAGGGTTTTATTGATACCTGAGGGTATTTACTCATGATAACATAAACTTATACTATTCGACAAAACAAAGCGGTTAATTATATATAAATAGCATGAAATGTCTTCATGACATCAGCTGTATCCAATACATACATGATGCAGAATAAAGACCAGGACATCTGCTTGAAAACAACTTCATATTTGATTATCAAACTTCATCTTTAGTCCGTCTGTTACTTGATGCCAACATAAGAATAATGAAATTATACGCAGTAGGTGCAGTTAATGATAGATTAATTAAGGGTGATCAATTTGGTTTACAACCGTGTTTTATATGAAAGAAAAATTATACGGAATAAACGAGAAAAATACAAGATTCTGCCGAAGAACATCTCTCTATCTTCAAAAGAATACATATTGTCTAATAAAGAACGAAATTTTAATTAATTTTTAATCAAAGAATGAGGTTTTAATGCAATATAAAGCGATAGCCTTATATGCACATCATGTTGAATATAGCAATATTAAGATTGAGCTGCTTCTAATTTCAATGCACAGTGTTTATTAGTTTTGAACGTTTATATAACTTTAACGTATTATACATACACAACTTTGTCTAGCTGGAGCGGATCAAATATCTTATTTTAATCAGAATGGAAAGTGTTGCTCTAGATCTGCTCAGCAGCGACACAAAAACCCTACCTCCAACCAATATAGAGGTTTGAGGAACTTTAAACAAATACTTGTGGAAAAACGGATGGTTGAACACAGCAAGCATATATGGCTTCAATTAGTGGGGACAAAAATAATCGTGCTTGTGTACTCAAATTGGAGGAATGGGGGTAAAAACATGCAAATAAAACTTTCAATTACTGTATTAATTTTGGACCATTATAATGATTAGAAAATTTGAATTAATCACAAATTACAGAATGCAGTGCAGATTGTATTTTATTATATCAAATGGTAGATCAGTCAAATTATTCAAAGTACCATGTAATTATTGTGCAGTGTAAAATGGGCCCTAAAATATTGAACATTTTGTGTTAACATCCAAATATAAGAACACAGAAAACTTTCAGTCCACATCATGGAACATCAAAGCTATGGAACATTGTAATTGTAATTGTCATTCAGCCTTGCAGTGCATATGTACGTATGCATCAGCTTTACTGCCACAATACTGTAGTACAGATGAGAGCAATCGTACCACTGCCGAGAATAAATCTAGAGGATATTCAACGTTTTGTAGTTGGATAAACAATTTATTTTACAAGTGAGACGGGTTTTTTGTTATTTTCGTAAGTGCAAAACACGAGTAACAATATAAACTAAAGTGTTCTAAGGAATGCTTTTTTAAAGATGTAAATAAATCTAAGAGTTGTCATGCAGCTATTTATCATCAACCGAGGCGCAGCCGAGGTTGACAACGGTTTTCTAGGGATGAAAATTTTCAATGTTACACTCAACTACATGCATTATTTATTATATTATACTGAATGTTTTATACAAGTACACATTACAGTGAACATTTCGCGCATAATTTCTGCGCAGTCAATATTTTTTGGAATATCACCCGTCGTCAAACAATGTTGACTATTGCTACTCTGGAGGTCATGACTTCATTTATTCAGCGGATGAAAGTGTTTTTTAACAAATGTTTCTCGACGAATCAGAATTAACTAATTTACATGAAAGTATAATATATATATATATATATATATATATATATATATATATATATATATATATATATATATATATATATATATATATATATATATATATATATATGTATGTATGTATGTATGTATGTATGTATGTATGTATGTATGTATTCAAAAATAAAAATAGAAGTTTAACTTAAACACCCGGTTTGGTTGACACCAAAAGCAAATATGTTTATATAAAGGACTTTGAACTTTACATTCAAAGAATATTCATTTGTATCATAAAATGTAAAAGTTAAGTTTCAATCATAAATAAAATCATTTTCCTTTATGCTTTATTTTGTTCTAAAGGATGTTCTTAACCCATTCTTTTAAATATAAATTTGCTTTTGGCATTTTTGTTCTTAAGAGGAGGAGTATTCCAAATTTTACACCATATATAGAATAAAGTTGAGGATTCTATCCCTCCCCCCCCCCCCCCTTATCTACGGGACTACAGAGTTTGACTGGCTAGGATGTGTTTTATGAACACCAGAATTTTTTGTGAATTTATTATACAAATATGACTTTTCTGTGAAATATTTTTATGCCCCCGAATCGAAAGATCCCAGGGGTATATTGTTTTTGTCCTGTCTGTCTGTTTGTCTGTTTATCTGTTTGTCTCTTTGTCTGTTTGTTGTCAACTTTAACCTTGCCCATAACTTTTGATTGGTTGGAGCTATGACTTTCGTATTTCACATGTGTATTTCTTGTGACAAGACCTTTCTTTGGGTACCATCATATTTGACCTTTTGACCTTGGCCTTGGAGTTTGACCCACTTTTGCAAAATTTTTTGAGACTTTAATCTTGGCCATAACTTCTGAACAGTTGGTGCTTGGGGTTTCAATCTTCACATGTGTATTCTTTGTAATAAGGCCTTCCTTTGGATACCAACATTTTTGACCTTGACCTTGGAGTTTGACCTACTTTTGAAAAACAATAACCTTGGCCATAACTTTTGAACGGTTGAGCTAGGGCTTTCATACTTCACATAAGTAATCCTTGTGACAAGACCTTTCTTTGGATACCAACCACTTTGACCCTTTGACCTTGACATAGGAGTTTTACCTACTTTCGAAAAACTTTAACCTTGGGCATAACTTTTAATTGGTTAGTGCTAAGGCTTTCATACTTTAAATATGTAATCCTTGTGACAAGACCTTCCTTTGGATACCAACAACTTTGACCTTGACCTTGATGTTTTACTTTCTTTTAAAAAACTTTAACCTTCACTATAACTTTTGAACAGTTGCAGCTAGGGCTTTCAAATTAAATTTTTTTATCTTTTGGCCTGGATTTTGACTTGCATTTGAGAAACTTTAACCTTCGCCATAAGCTGCCATACGGGGGCATCAGTGTTTCACAACACATCTTGTTTATATATGATTTAACCGTAGTTGTTTAACCCTATGATATATGTTTTAACAGTTTCTTAGTTTCATAATCTTTGAGTAACAAACTCTGTTTTGGTTTAAAGTTCAAAATAAAAATAAAAATATTTTATACAATTCTGAAAACCAATTGTGTTTGATTTATTTAACACAAACGTCCTTTGCTGCTATATTGTTTCCTTATCCATCTATGATACAAAAAAGATGGTACAAGACAATCTTTGATATTAAATTCAACATTGGCTTGTCTCCTTCTTAGGGGAGATAATCAAAAGATGGTAAATATACATGTATTGTCAGTTTATTAAAAAAAATCTTCTGAAGAACCACATAGCCAGAAAAGATGACACCTATGTGAAATCTTTCTGATTCTACTTTGGTCAAATCATGCTCAAAGGGGTTAGGGTGGAACCACAATAGGGGGATCAACCTCATTCCTGGAATTATATACTAGGAAAATACTTTTATACAACGTCATGCTTAGTCATCTTGATAAGCAGGAATCTTCATATAGGGCACTTTTAACTTTGTTCACATCTGGGCCTCTGTCTCACCAGTGACTATACAATATAAGTAATCTCTAAGTAAGTTATTCTTCAAAAGGGCGTTGTGGAATTATCATTTAATTAACTTGGCAAATGGTTCAGCAAATAGGTAAATTCTTTTTGAATTATACATTGGTGTCTGAATTTCACACAGGTGCTACAATGTACAATAGTCGTAAACAATTTAATTGGTGGAAACAGTTGAGGAAGTAAACGGAGGAGTATTATAAAAGCATGTTTCGAAAGGGGGATATATGAACGAGACAAAATGAAGATCGTGGCCATATTCCTGATATTATACCTGGTAACAATCCTTCAAACAAGTAAGTTGGAATTTGTTTGCTAATATTTGTGTACAATTTAAAGATATATCTTTTATTTTTTCGGAAAAATTAAAAATTCGTTCGAACAAATTGCATATTTGTCCCGACGAATTAGATATTAGAAATGTGATCGGCCGAATCAGACATTTATTTTGACAAATATTGAATTCGTTCGGATAATTTAAATATTTGTTCAGACAAAGAACTACAACCGCTAATTCTCGATTCCTGCCTATATTTATAATTCATTGAATTCAATATAAATGGCAATTTGGCTATTAAAACTTATTTGAATACAAAGAAGAGTTCATTAGTAATTGATTATAATAATTATTTTAAAAAGAGTGTCAAAAAATTACTTTGCTTATATTTACAAGTCTTTTCATAAGGGGAATAGAAAACTTTTTCCATTGAAATCAGACTTTTTAACAGTATCAGATTTTGTGCAGTGAAATGTTCTATGCTGGTCTTAAATTATATATAAAAATTAACTGTCATGAATTATATCATCATATTTAGAAAATATAGCAAATATATCGTGAAAGTCCTGAAAAAAATAGCCCAATTTATTTTGTTTGTTTGTTTGTATGTTGTTTAACGTCCCTCTCGAGAATTTTTCACTCATATAGAGACGCCACCACTTGCCGCGGTGAAGAGCTTCACATTTTGTCCTATACTCGGCACTTACGGCCATTGAGCAGTGAGGGATCTTTTTCGTGCCAACATCTACTGCGACACGGGACCTCGGTTTATACGGTCTCATCCGAAGGACCGGTCTCCACGTCCCACAGTGGGATTCGAACCCGCAACGTAAGGATCAACTCCTTACTTCGCGACTCTAGAGCAGACGCTCTAACCACTGCGCCACGCGGGCGACGCCAATTTAAGCTTAAAAGTAACACTATTTTAGTAATTTCTAAAAAAAAAAAAAAAACAAAAAAAAAACAAAAAAACAAAAACAAAAACAAACACAGCTCCCCACTTTTTATTTTATTTTCTGAATATATAAGGTAATTTTAACCATTCTGCTTAAATTCAGAAAAATGTCATTACTTTCAAATGATTCCATTGCTTGTTAAATTTTTAACGCCAGAAAATTAACATTTTTTGAGTGCAAAAAGGTCAAATAATTGACTATGCGAAGTAATTTGAAACTATTTTTGCTGTCACAAATTTTAATGTGACTATTCAAGATGAAAAAAGACTGTGTTTGTTCGTATAATTTATTTGGATAATAGATATTAGAGGAAAAACTTTGAAAAATTGATTTATGTGTTAGACGTTATTACAGTGCAAAAAGGTCATATTAATTGCCCGGTAGTGCTAAAAGAAGCGCACTGACCCCCATTTTTTGTTTAGAGTTTTTATTAAGCTATGTGTGTAGATTCTAAAAATATACTCGAGAAAAAATTCTCAAATACTTTTGATAACAGGATCCAACCTCCTTAAACAAATACCTTAATAGAATGGAGCCTGGTCTATTTTACATATATAACAACAATTAAATTATTGGTACATCTCGATAAAAGATGAATTATTTAGATGATGAAGCAATGATCTGTTAATACGCTGAAGGCATTATATATATAGTGACTCATAGTAACGCCAAAGTCCGATGGTCTGGTTCTGGTAGGGACGTCCGATTGATCGTGCGCTATGAGATATTAGGGTTTGTCCTTGCACACTCAAAATATCTACGTTAGTTGCTGCACACCTTTTGACCGATAAGGATTAGTATTGCATTTTTTTTTTAGAGAGATCAGGGTAAGCCATTCACCCACGCGAGAAATTAGGCTAGTATAGTCTAATTATATTTTCGTGCATTCGCGTGAATCATTTCAACTATAAACTGGAATCAATCCGAATGTTACATTGAGCACTAGCCATTCAGATATAACAACACAATATAGCAACAATGTCTTGATAATTTTTGTAATCTTTTTTTTTTTCAGTATGCTTTGTTGGAGCTATACCAGGTAAGAAATTATTTGTGTCTTCATCTAATCTACATGTCAATCATTTTAAAAATTTGTAAATTTGTGCATTACCTTTTCTTTGTTTTCGTTTCAAATATTCTTGTTGTTTTATGTATCAATGAAATGATATCAATGACAGGTTTTACGTCAACGAAAAATCTTAATAATTTTAGGGCCCATGCTTTTATTAAGCTTACATTGACATTACTCTTGGCATTATCTTCTACACAATGCTACATTTAAAGGTCAAATTCAAAGGAAATAGATACACTTGTAAATTATATATGTTGTAAACAACAGTTAAAAAGAGGGAACCATAATATTTGTAAAATTTTAAACCTCGTTGTTTTCTTTGTTTACCTGTTTAAAAATCGCTAAATATAACGTTTATCAAAAGAGTTACTTCCCATTTTTGTGACGTCATAAGAGGCAATCGACATCAGAAACAGATAATATCTAGTGAAGTATAGTATAGTGCTCTCGATTATCACAAAAAATGTAAAATTTTAGTGACAGTGATGGTGATATACCAGAGGTAGATCTTTCATTTAAGAAAAGGTCCGAAATGTTACAGCACAGGCACCTGAAGCGTGAATCCCCCCCCCCCCCCCCAACTAATAAAATAAACCAATTCTGTGCAATTGGTTTGTACGTTTGTTAAGGTTTAAAAATTTACATACGGTAACCGTATTATAAAAATACTTTTTCATAACAATTTTTTATACCGTATAAGGCCAGTTTTTAAACCTTAACAAAAGTACAAACCAATCGCACAGAATGACATACAGATAGAATTGACGGAGAAATCACATATTTTCGAGAAAATAAAGACTCCTTATTTTTTTATTAGTAAGTCGGGGGAGGGGGGGGGGTGGTCCACGCTTCAGGTGCCTGTGGTTAGAGCCAATCAAGGAAAGTACACAAATTGAAAATGATTATTCTTCTTCGACCGATTCTGTTTCATCCGAAACCTGCGAAGGTGAAAGTGGAAATGAAAAGACACAACAGCACCTAGAGAATGCAGATAACTGGTATTACTATAATCCCTTTTACTCAAGCTCTCAATATTTCAGAAAAATGCACAGCACCTGACGTTACTTATTTTTCTTTTGATAAAAAAAATATATACCCCCTACCTAATAATTCATAAGGGTGAATTATTAGGTAGGGGGTATATATTTTATTTATTAAAAGAAAAATAAGTAACGTCAGGTGCCTGTGGAAAAATGTTTAAGGAAAATTTATTTTACGTGTTGTTCATAGGACTGTCACAGGTGAAAACGTATACTTCTTATATTTACATTGCATGGCCGTAGGGACTGGGGGCACGGCGATTTAATATAAAGTATACTATAGATTACGTATGTCTAGTAACTTTTTTAGCTCACCTGAGCCAAAGGCTCAAGTGAGCTTTTCTGATCAAAATTTGTCCGTTGTCTGTCGTCGTTGTTGTTGTAAACTTTTCACATTTTCATCTTCTTCTCAAGAACCACTGGACCAATTTCAACCAAACTTGCCACAAAGTATCCTTGGGTAAAGGAGATTATTCAAGTTTGATCAAATGAAGGGCCACGCCTTCTTCCAAGGGGAGATAATTAAGAATTCGTGAAAAATTAATGGCATCATTAAAAAATCTTCTTCTCAAGAACCACTGTACTTGAAAATATGAAACTTATGTGGAAGCATCCTCAGGTAGTGTAGATTCAGATTTGTTCAAATCACGACCCCTGGGGGTAGGGTGGGGCCACAATGGGCGATCAAAGTTTTACATAGGATATATAGGAAAAATCTTTAAAAATCTTCTACTCAAGAACAGCAAAGCCATGATTGGTCATATTTATATGGTAGCATCCTCAGATAGTGTAGATTCAAGTTTGTTCAAATCATGACCCCCGGGGGTCGGGTGGGGCCACAATGGGCGATCAAAGTTTTACATAGGAATATATATCTTCTTCTCAAGAACAGCGAACCCATGATTGGTCATATTTACATGGAAGCATTCTCAGGTAGTGTAGATTCAAGTTTGTTCAGATCATGACCCCTGGGGGTCAGTTGGGGCCACAATGGGCGATCAAAGTTTTACATAGGAATACAAAGGAAAAATCTTTAAAAAATCTTCTTCTCAAGAACAGCAAAGCCATGATTGGTCATATTTATATGGAAGCATTCTCAGGTAGTTTAGATTCAAGTTTGTTCAAATCATGACCCTCGGGGGTCGGGTGGGTCCACAATGGGCGATCAAAGTTTTACATGGGAATACATAGGTTAAATCATCAAAAATCTTCTACTCAAGAACAGCAAAGCCATGATTGGTCATATTTAAATGGAAGCATCCTCAGATAATGTAGATTCAAATTTGTTCAATTCATGACCCTCCCCCCCCCCCCCCCCCGAAGCACTTTTTTATTTAAACTTTTCAACCTTTCAAGACTGAAGTGATTTCTGCTTTTTTCTAGCCATAGTGCTCAGGTGAGCGATGTGGCCCCTGGGCATCTTGTTTAATGCGTGACAAGGAATTTTTGCTCCCCCCCCCCCCCCGAAATAACATTTGTTGTGCCCCGAAACTGGTGATTCTTTCACCATGATAAACAAGTTTTTTTTAATTTCTTTGAAAAATAAAACATTTATGTACAAAATGAAAAAAAAAAAAAAAAAAAAAAAAAAAAAAAAAAAAAAAAACATGCAAATGGTATTTCCTTTCTCATTCCCTACTCTACAGACATCTCGCTTATTACAGATTTGTCGGATGGGTATATCAGCGCCTTGGGAAGAACAAATGAATTCTTCTATCTTGTGTAATAACGAAAAGTCGAAAAACCTTTCCCTCTAAACAGTTTTGCGGCTATAAACACCCAAACTGACAAACTAATATACAATAAAAAATTTGAAATAAAACCAAGAACTTCGTGAGTTATTTTATATTTAATTAAACTGTAAACTGATTCATGTAAAAATGTCGCTCAGAAAGCTTCACATGTTGATTGGGTTCAAAACCATCTCTTTTCAATTTTGATATTTTCCTCAATTTCGGGTTCTTGGAAAATAAATAGATTACACACTCAGGTCCTGTTCCGATTTATTGGTACAATTAAAAGAGCCCATAGCACCATCTCGCAAACGATATGTTCCATAACCGGCACTTTCTATTTTCTCGTTGTCTCTTATGACGTCACGCAGCAAGGGAGAGAAGCGATTTACAATAAACGCTCAACTTGTCACACAGTTATATTTAACGACGATTAGTGATGACATTGGTGACAAAAAAATTAAAAAGACCATATAATGTCATTCATATAGCTCAAAAGGCTGATATTCATGAATGATTATGAATTTTCAAATAAATATTATATCTGACCTTTAAAGGGATTTAAAAAAAGGCGTACAAACTGATGGTCTATAACACCATAAAAAATAGATGTGACATTGTAATCATTGGTTTTATATTTGGGGAATGGGTACATGTAGGTTGGGTGAGTGGTATGAGAGGTTCACTTCAGAATTACATCAAAACATTTTCCATTTTGTTTTCAAATTTCATAAAAGATCTTTTGACCTTGTACCAAAGGAACACAGAATTTTACTGAATAAAAATGTTCTTTACTACAGAAGTTTATAAAGGATATAGAAATGGAAAACAACTTGAAAAATAAACGGATTTTTGTTTATAATACTTCCAAATGGTGTTTAAATTACGTGAAAATTAATAGACAATTGCATCTAAAATTGAAAGCTGAAATAAAGCCAGCTGTAAATCAGATGCCTTGGTACAAAGATTATGTCTTTTGTTCCCAGGATATTTAGGATGCTTTCAAGACAGAAAGGACCGAGTATTGACCGGTAAGATGACAAGAAGCGATGACATGTCTGTGGATAAGTGCAGGATGTTGTGTACGAAGCTTAACAACAAGTTTTACGGTGTCGAGGTTCGTCAATTTATTAGAGAAAATAATCATAACTATGCTGAATTGTACTGGAAATCATTGAATAAGCCATAAACATTTCTGTCATTTCTTTGTAGGGTTCACAATATTGTTTCTGTGGAGACACTCTTATGAAGCCTATTAAAAAACACTGGAGAGAATGCAACCAGAGATGTATTGGGAATAAAAGGCAATGGTGTGGTGGACACTGGAAAATGCACATCTATTCAAACACAGGTGTGATTTTAATTAACGTTTCAGGAAACGTCCACTTGGTATACTATTACACGATATGTGTTTGATTTAACCGTAGGTTGAATTACAGCAAGAAATTTATTTCCTTTTTTCATTCTTTTTGGATGCTAATTCAGAAGATTATGGGTTCTTTGATATAAAATACAAGTTGGTTATAGTACATATCTTCTATCTTCTTGAATTGAAACATACCTTATTTCTTACTATTTATAAGTTTCGGTCACCAAAGCGGTGCACATGAATAAAGAAATTTACTGCAAAAGAAAATATATGATTGATATTAAAAAACAGCTTACATTAGCTCAGGTCAGTATGAAACAAAAAAAAAATGTTTATTAGGAAACAATAAAAAGAAATTTAATGTCACCGATATATCTTAAGCCAGTAAGAATTTTTCTAGTGGGCTTCCTATTGCTAGTTTTCTTTTTATCGGAATCCAAATGATCTAAATGACTTCAAAATATAAATATCGTCTTTTTCAATTTTAATCTGAAATGAAGCCAGCTGTAAATCAGATACATTTGTTACAAAAATTATGTCTTTTATTGTCAGGATATTTAGGATGCTTCCAGGACCAAAAGAACCGAGTATTGACCGGAAAATATACACATAGTTCAAGAATGACTGTTCATGGGTGCAGATATATGTGTGGGAGGGAATTTTACCAGTACTACGGTGTCGAGGTTCGTCAATTTATTAGATAAAATAATCATTACTATGCTGAATTGTACTGGAAATCATTGAATAAGCCATAAACATTTCTGTCATTTCTTTGTAGGGTGCACGATATTGTTTCTGTGGAAACACTCTTACAACATCTGTTCGAAAACCAGAGAGAGAATGCAACCAGAAATGCACTGGGAGTAAATGGCAAAGGTGTGGTGGACACTGGAAAATGAACATCTATAAAAATGTATTCGTAGACGTCACAGGATAAAGGGGAATCAGGTGTGTAATTTTATTTACGTTTCTTTTCAAAAATATATAGTCGCATAAAAAATTAGTTTGGCATTTAATTTCGTTGACAATTGTTTACAATGAAATTAGCAAATTTTTCCCCAGAGAATATATCTGCTTTACAAAAAAATGTTGCTTTGCATTTAATTTTGCTTTCTACTTTAAGGTTGCGACTTGAAATGTGAATAAATCGGTGAACCCAAGAAAGTGATCATCTTTCATTGATGCTTTTTCTGTCAATTATTTTAAGTTTAATTAAACGCTTCAATTATGCTTCTTTTTCACTTGTGAATTGCAACTTTTTTAAGCTAGTTCGTTGTTGGTTTATTTTTCGAATAATGCATTAACATTATCAAACCATTATCAGGTACTTCTCTGGAATCGCTGAACCAATTTCAACCAATATGAGCATATAGCATCAATGGGCAAAAGGGAACAAAAATTGTGAAAATCATAGCCCCTGCCTCCCTGTGACCTTAGAGGTTGGCCTTAAACCATAAAAATTAATGAAATCATTAAAAATCTTTTTTATTCCTGGACATTAAGCAGTCAAACTGTTGGCATTTTACCAAAATTATGAAATCCAGAGCCCTAAAGTCAAGGGTTCTGCTGCTAGGGCAGGGCTATGTAGATCATATAATGAAAGTACATGATTTCTTTATAAATATTCTCTGCTCCTGGGTATAACGCATACAAATTAAGTGCTTAGTTGTGTAGGGCAAGGGTGCCTTATCTAAAATTGTGAATTCATGGCTCCTTTGTCAGAGGTTCTGGTTTAGTGTGGAGCTCTATTGATAAATATAATGAAAATGATTGATCCTTTGAAAATATACTTAAGTGCTCTTGGGTATTTAACAGTTGTGATAGACAAGCGTGACTCCTGTGAATTACATGGCCTCTAGGTCAGAAGTTATGGTTTTATGTGGGACTCATTAAGTGAAAGTATCTAATTTCTTCATGAATCTTATCCTCTGCGTCTGGATATTTAGCAAACAAACTAAGTGCATAATTATATGCAAGATTGGGAATTTTATTGCCAGTGGGCCAAGGGCTCTTGATAAGGTTGGGGCTCTACATGTCATACAGTGAAAGTGATTAATCCTGGGTATTTAACACAGGCACTCCTCGTGTATTTTTGTAGATGACGAAATGATAGTCTACATAGGTCTACCCATCTAAACTATAAAATAGACAAGGCCTACAACTACCCGCCATGTTGGCCTTCGCCTGGGACCTATTACCGACTTACTTTAAGGGTTTCTTGTGTCAGTGGGGCTGTTCATCAGCATCGGGTACTGTAATTTATTGAAATAAAATAATTGCAAGCGACAATCCAGCAGCATTCCGCTGTGTAATCGCGTTTATTGACATTTCTCTGACATCCAGCTGATCTCGGCCGAAAGTAGTCAATTTTCGACAACTCGTTCTAAGATTACTTTTGGTATTTGGTTTTTAATTTTTTAAAGATATTCAAACTCAAAAATATTGTAAATTTTAACGATTATATTCATTTGTTGATTTTATAAACAAATGATTTATTTGGCCATTTGGTATTTTCATTGAAAATTTCCCATAAAATGTGCCGTTTGACATGTCCCCCTGAAAAATCTAAGCCGTAATCTGGCATAATTTGCTGGTAAATTGTTTTGTTAACATTGTCCTTTAATATGAATAAAGATTTTATTGCAGAATTTTATCAATGATTACTCTAATACCCTACACTGACAATACGTTTGATTTCCATTAGTGAACTCTTCAAAATTAGAGGCGCGTATGGTCGTCTGACTGGGACAGCATGGCATTGCGGATAATACAAAACATGCCAACCTCAATCCAATTTTAAATGTTAAACGTATTTGTCATTCCAATTAAAGAACAGACGAACTAAAAGACATATGTAAGAGAGCGAGAACCCTAAATTTATCATCCATTAATAAAAAAATACGAAATTTCCGAGGTATGTGTACTGTATTTAAATGTACCATACGATAAATAGATACATACGATCAACAATAGATATAAATTGATATCGTTGTCATTTCTACTCTTAATGTATATAAAGTCCACAACAATAGAATATTTCATCTGAATTTTGTTAGGATTTGTTCATCGACATTCAACATGTTATTTACATGTTCATGTTACGTTTGTCCAAGAAATCCCGCGAGATTTGTACATTTTTTTTTTCCACAAAAGAGCACACTAAGAAGTATAACTCTTCAATAGTGGAAATAGATAGGATTCCCCATTACTTCCTATAGTAATTATCGATTTCCATCGCCAACTTTTGAAACGCTCCCCATTAAAAATCTACATCGATGACCATATGATTTTTTTTTTATTGATTTTAACTCACCAAAAGTCACTGTACCTCATATTGAAATTTGATTGATTGATTGATTGTATATTGTTTTACGTCCCATTCGAGAATTTTTCACTCATATAGAGACGTCACCATATACCGGTGAAGGGCTTCAAATTTTGACCTTTACTCGGCACTCAGGGTCATTGAGCAGTGAGGGATCTTTAATATCGTGCCAACGCCTGCCTTGACACGGGGCCTCGGTTTTTAAGGTCTCATCCGAAGGACCCGCAACTTTCACTTCAAAGTGCCGAGCGCATGGCGAAGGAACAGTTGCTACCTATTTTTATCGACTTAGGTCTGTCGCGGCCGAGATTCGAACCCATGACCTCCCGATCACGGAGCAAGAGCTCTAACGCCTGATCTATTGTGAACGGTATATTAAAATTTGAATAAAAAATCTATTGCAGAAATGAATTAGGTCGTCGTCGTCAAATAAAAAAAAAATAACATTTTCTGATCAATATTCACATTGTAAATCTGAACGTAACCCCAAAACAGTCATTTAATAATTAAATCCTGTGTAAGTGCAAAAAAAATCAACAAAAGAAGTATTGATAAATAGAGTGGCTCTGATTCCTGAGCTGGGAAAGATATATATATTAATCACTTTATGTAATTATTTGGGTATGTTCTTTATCATATTAAAGATTGAAAACATTCTGACGAAGACTTTTTAAAAATATTTACAAATTTAGGTGGTAAATTGACTAAAAAATATTGAGTACATTTGCCTATATTCGTTGAAATGTGGACTTAATCTTTTATGCCAAATGAATAAAAAAGAATTTATTCTTGAATAATATTGCTTAATACAATTCAGTTAATAAAGTCTATAAACGACGATGTTTCAAGAAGTTTTTTTTTTTGTGATTTTCTACATTCCCTTTATGACCAGTACCCCTAAAAATGGAATGGCTGAAAATATGTTGTCGCAGTGTAAAATTATCATTTCAAATTACACAGGCTGAACTACATTTAATAACAAGGAAACACACCATATATTTTTAACTGATTGATAAATGAGTGCTAATTTATCATTTTGAAAAGTTTGAAAATCTTGTTACAAAGACTTTTCCGACATAGGTTCTACCTTAAATAGAAGAGTTCAACATTTGGATTTAACAACCAATCCAGAGTAATGCACGATCACTTTGGTTCAATTTTTTTTTTCAAATTGAAAACATACAACTGATGTGTCATTTTCATAAACAAGATATTATGCTGAATGTTTTTGAATTTTCCGCGTAATATCAATGTAATATTCGGAGTAATCTTAGAACGAGTTGTCGAAAATTGACTACTTTCGGCTGAGATCAGCTGGATGTCAGAGAAATGTCAATAAACACGAAAATACGGCGGAATGCTGCTGGATTGTCGCTTGCAGTTATTTTATTTCAATAGAATACAGAACCCGATGTTAATTGATGAACAGCCCCACTGAGACAAGAAACCCTTAAACAGGTTGGGAACAATTCCCCTGTAGAGAGATCATCTCGCTAGAGCGCGATAATCCCTCTATAGCGGAAGAATAAACATTACCATAAACAGGTGTTTTGTTGTTTTGATTACAAAATAATCAAAAATCTCGTGCTTTTTAAAAATCCGGGACAAGACTGCATTGAAGCTTGAATTTCCTACATAAAACTGACAACCTGGGCTAGAAATTTAAGACAATCACTGCTGCATGTGAGAATAGGAGGTGAAAATCAAGTGTAAATCGTGCATTTTTTTGCAACGGTTTTAAAATTTACAGTTATATATGTTTATGAAGCAATATAAATTATGAATAGATATCCAAATTATATTCGTTAAGGTTTTAGCTTTCCCTTCGTGCACAGAAGGTAATAATTACGTTCTCCAGAAACCCATGACCATTGCTGAAATATTTGATCTTTGGTGGACTACAAGAAGTACGGAAGCGCAACAGGGTTGTAACATTTGTTTAAAAGTCATGATTAAAAAAAACAACTATCAATGACATATATACAAGCTAGATACCCCATTAAATAATTAAATATAATTGAAAACAAATCAATTTAAAAAAGTTTAAATTAAGTCTAACCGATATTGACATAGTACAAAATGTTGATATATAGTAACTCTTGGACTTGCAGTAAGCGTGATATTCTCGACGCATAATAACCGTCAAATGGTGATCTAGATTTTCATTGGTTGTCTTAGCTTATCAATATTCATAGGAACATAGTCAAGCATAACTGATAAACGGCACAAAACAGTTTAGTATGAATTATTTTTTTTATAACACAGAGAAAACAAAAATGCGAAATTGTTGAGTGATCACTGCTTTCCACGTGTTGTGTTAGTTTGAAGAAGTATAGGCCCTAAGTGTTCGTACATGTACTTCAATGACAAATTCTTAACGTTTTTTCCGGTGGCAATGAACAGTTCCACGTTTGAGGACACTTGCGCTGGAATCATGTTGGGATCCTGCATAACAAATGTAAATTTTAATAGTGCATCAGATACTTTCCAATACAGAGATTGCATAGGAGAACCCAGGCCCGTAGATTTTTTTTTTTTTCAAAAAGGGGGGAGGGGGGCTTCCAAAAAATTTGACCAAAATAATAAATAAAAAGTGCCCAAGGGAATAAATA